GAAAGCATGTTCATTCTTATTTGTACAAAAAAATACAAGGGACAGCGTCAGTGAGATCTCATCATTTCATCTACCAAGTGTACAACTGAAGACAGTTGAAATGCTCACTGCTGGCAATGCTGTGACAAAACAGTCACTTTCTACAAACTTTTCATCAGGAAAAATACTAAATACGCACACAGGTACAGAGTATTCTTGTGTTCGGTTTCAAAAACCATCAATAGCATCAATAGTTCACCGTATTTCTTTCATTAGTACCCCCACTATTTTTTGCCAGAGTATTTTAAAAGAAGTGCCAGAGATTTTGTCATTTCATCCATAAGTGATGCAGTAAATACTCAAACAGGGACATCAAACAAAATTAATAGAACCCTTAATATCATCTTACACTCAGTCCACATTTAAGGGTCCCTATTTTAGAAAAAGCCTTTTCACAGTTGACTTGCTTGAATCAGGATCCAAACCAGGTCTGTCTGTCATGTCGGTGGCTTCGCCTCTTTCATCTCTCGATCGACTTTCCCTGTTTCCGGCCCCCCTCCCCAGGCCCTGCCTTCCCCCCCACCCCCGTGCCCTGCTCTCCCTGGCGCAGAAGCCAGGGCGCTTCCTGCCCAGTGTCTCCAGGCTCTGGCCGCCTGCTTCCTCCTGGTGCCGTCTTGGTCCCTCCATCTCCGTTATCGCCCAGAGACACTCAGCCCCTGGCTGTGTGTGCCTTCTTGGCGCGCACGTGTGTGTGCGTGCACGTCCTTCCTGGGCACTGCTGCCACCCCGTACCTCGTCCCACGAGGAGAAGGTGGAGACTTCTCTGCTGTCAGTGACGTTGGCCTGCCCAGGAGTCCCGGCGGCAACAGCCCGCATGTCTGGGGAGAAGCTACTTAAACTTCTTGGAGCCTTGGTTTCTCGGCCTGTTAAGCGGGCAGAGAGTGCCTCCTCCTCTAGAGGTCTCGTGTGGTCACGGATGTGAAAGCCTCCAGAAGGCAGACGGCAGCACAAACATTAGGTAGTAACAGTGATAACGGTTTTTTGGGCAATTAAGGAAATTTTCTTTGGAAAGTAGTTTCCTTCCTTGAGTACCTTTAATTGAGAAAATGGTGATGCTCTTTTTTTTTTAATTAAAAAAAAAGCTTCCAGTACATTTGAGAAGATTGAAAACTATCAATTTTTTAACCAACAGACCAAGTGCAGGGGTGATTACCGCCTCCTGGTTTCCGGGCACTAGAAGCCAGGAAAAAGGCTCAGTGATGCCCATCTGTGGAGCAGAGGTTTGTTTCATAGCCCAGCTGGGGAAGACTGGAATTTCTTACTCTTCTAGATCAGAGGAGCAAGGGGCATTCCCAAAGGGGAGGGAAGAAGCTATTGAGACTTTTATGGGGTGGTTTCCTCTATCAAAAGGTTCTTCTGCATTCCAGCCCCTAAGAGAAGCATCTCGTGGCACTCTTCTGTGAGGACCGGGGGAAGAATCTTTTAAAGGGATTTTGCCTTATTGATTGTCAGGAACAGAGTTGCTACTTAAATTTTAACACTTCTCAGTAAGCTAGCAATTCTGAAGCTTGTGAATGAGCAAATCCTCCCCAGAACCACTTTTTTTTTTTTTTTTGATATAAATCAGAGTGCCCATGAGATGGATCGGGTTCATTTGTATTAGTTTTCAGTTTAATCTCTCTTCCTGCCAGATCTTTTATCTTGGAGCAGGAGAGGGAAAAAGAACAAATAAAGAATCCTATAGATGCAGCAGGAGGACTGAGCAGAGCCCCAGGGTCCGAAGCAGATTAATAGGCCCTGTTGTCAAATCAGACTAGGCAGCGGCTCCTGCGGCTCGGGCTGCACTTCCAGGAGCTGTTTACACCCTGCGTGAACAAATGGCCCCGAGTCAGGGCATCATGTGGGGCCAAGTGGGGGGTCGGGGGTGGTGGGGAGAGGGGCCTGCGTGGGGCTGGAAGGCGGCGTCCGGGCGCTTCTCGGCCCCTAGGGGCCCTGTGCGGTTCATCCTTTAGTCCACGGGCTGGACCACTGTCCTTCTAACGCTGCCCCTTTGTGAAATCGCCGCCGTACCTGGCTGAGCAGGTGAGCTGTTTGCTCCCAGACCCTTCCTTCTCCGTAGGAAGAGAGGGATGAAGAGACAGTTTCTTGCGTCATGTTGCTCAAGACCCCGCGGGAGCAGGCGCACTCTTGGCTTATGGTCAAAGGGGCCTTTACGAGAGCTGCAGGAGGCGTGGGGGGAGGGAGCTGAGTGACCAGGGGCTGGCGACAGCGGGGCTAGACTCGCCCGTGGTCACAGGGCCCGGGAGCCGCAGAGCCCGCGGAGGGGCTGTGCAGAGTTGCCCCAGAGAAGAGAAGGGGACCTTGGTGTGAAGAGTGCAGACAGCGTCTCCAGTGAGGAGGGAAGAGCCCTGCCCTGCCTGACAGGCCCCCAGGGCACAGGCAAGGTGGGGATGGTCGTGAGAGTCTGGGTGAAGACGGGAGCATCCAGCAGAGTCCCCACGGGGCCAGGCCTGGGCCAGAGGCATCAGCACGCTGCCCTGGTCTCAGGACTCACGTGGTGTCCCCCACTGTGCCATGTGTAAATCAGGTAAAATTTCTCACTGTGGTGAGATACACACAACATGAGACATTCCATCCTAACCGCGTCTACATGTGCACCCCAGTTGCGTTAAGTACATTCACAGTGCTGTGCAGCCAGCCCGCGGACTCTCTTCATCCCGCAGAACTAAAGCTCTGTCCCATTAAACAGCTCCCCAGCTCCCGGCCCCAGCCCTCTGCATTCTGGCTCTGTGAATCTGATTGCTCCAGGTGTCTCATTTAAGTGGAATTTTTTTTTTTTTTTTTGGTCCTTTCGTGTCTGGCTTATTTCACTAAGCATATAGTGTCCTCATGGTTCATCCATGCGGGAGCATAGTTCAGAACTTCCTCCCTCTTCAAGGCTGGCTAACATTCCGTCACAGGGATGGACCACATTCTGTTTATACATTCATCTGTTGACGGACACTTGGTTTGCCCACCTTTTAGCTACTATGAATAATGCTATTAAGAGCATGAGTGTACAAACACCAGTTTGAGACCCTACTTTCAGTTCTTTGGGGTATATATTTTGACATGGGATTGCTGGATCACATGGTAATCCTATTTTAACTTTTGAGGAACTGCCTACCCTAGAGGATGAAATGGCAACCCACTCCAGTGTTCCTGCTTGGGAAATTCCGTGGACACAGCAGCCCGACGGGCGGCCAGTCCACGGGGTCGCAGAGGCGGACACAGTTGAACAACCGAGCACACGTAATACACATTTTCATATAAGAAGGAGGAACACAACTGAAGCACCGTAAGTGGAAGAGCTCAAAGTCAGCTGCGGCCTCTGTCTTTTCAACCGGGTATCAGCCATCTTCAGGATGGAACCTGTATCTCCTTTGAAGCCTGACTCGGCATGCCTGGTTCCACCAACCACATCCAGTGACGCTGACACTAGAGGCGTCTGTTCCCCTCTATGGTGACAGAGAACTCTTTTCTGTAAGGGAACCTGCCCAGAAAACCAGATCACCACGAGCTGTTTGATGCCCTAGAAGGGCCTCGGGCTCCCAAAGTAAATGGAGACACTGGTGCGAGTTTTTCTATAGTTAGTTGGAGACACACACGTTGCATTTTTAAAGGAGGCATAAGAGCGGGGATCCTCGTCAGCGGTAGATCACCTGTGTCGCCGAGACGCACAAGCCAGGAAGACCCAAATGCCCAGCTGGTGGCGAGGACTGCCGTCCCAGAAAGCCATTTTGGGAGCAGCTTTATTTGAAATAATTAAAAAGACTCAGCCTTCACGGCCCAACTGGCGCAGTGCTGCGGAGCGTGCGGCTTCCATCGAGGAGTCCAGACTTAGCATGGTCGGCGCTGCGTGCGGGTCAACAGGAGTCGCCTCCAAGGTCCTCATTTCATTTCGGAACAGGTGAGCCCCAGGCGCAGACTCGTAAGTCTCCATGAGCAGCCCTCTAGGTCTTCGCAGAAGTGGCTGTGATGTTGTGTGCACCGTGCAGGCCTGTCTGCATTCCCAGCTGAGCCTTGTCTGACACCAGGCTCACGAGTCACCCCCGTGTGACAGTCTCAGACGTGGGCGAGCGTGCAGCACCGTTTCCAAGGAACAAGAAGGACAATCTGATTCCCGGAAGAGTCGCCCATCCCCCCGTCTCACTTCACTGATCTCTTGAAGACACAGTTCAGCCTCAGAGCGATTCCGAGTGGACCCGACAGAGGGCGCTTGTTCATCCCAAGGCTCCGCGAGGTGATCGGGCCAAGAAGCCTGCCTCAACTGCGGAGAAATCCCTGGGAGGGGCCGGGGCCCGGCAGAGCCTTCGGAAGCCTTGCAGGGGAGAGCTCCCTTGGCCCACAGGGCCGCGCTTCCACACCTGCCGAGAAAGCCAGGGGAAAAGATCTCCTAAACTCACTGTGAGTTTCATTCCGCGTCTCTCCAGCCAGAGCCGCTCAGGGGCGTGGATGGAACGAGCTGCCACGCAGATGGGCGGCAGAATGCATGGCCCATCTGTCTTTCTCATGCTCATTTCCTCTTTTATTAAAATGTTAATGAATATAGTTTTTATTTATCATTTGGTGGCGTGTGCAGCATCCTTTTCTGGGAGACAAATCTGCAATCTGCCACGTGAGCTGACAGAGAGCGTCTTCTCATTATCCAGTGAACACGGGAATGAGGAACAACGCTCTGGTTCCATTTAAACTGCCACGTGCAGGCCGAACAAAAAATATCCCTTTACGTGTAGACAACAGCATGGGGTTGGCAGCGGGCGCCCCCAGACTCGGGAGCGGGCGGCCCGAGTCCAGAGCCGGGCTCGCTGGTGCTGGCCACGGGACCGGCGCCTCGAGGTGCGCATCCGCGCAGTGGGGCCAACCCCTCCGTCTGCCTCGGCGGGCGAGTGAGCCGGTTTATGCGGACGCACTTTGCGTTCGCTTGTTATCATTCAGACGGGCGCCTGCAGAGGTTCGAACTGTTCTGCTCCTCCTTGCAGACTCTCCCTGGAAAGTGCACCTGTCAGACGTCGGCCCCGAGATGACGGGCGTCACGGTGCGCGGCCTGACCCCGGCTCGCACCTACCAGTTCCGAGTGTGCGCCGTGAACCAGGTGGGCAAGGGCCAGTACAGCGCGGAGACGAGCAGGTGAGCGGCCAGGGGAGCCGAGCGCCAGCGTCTCGTGGGGCGGAGGGAGGCCATCAGCGAGGTCACTTCGAGGTCACCGACCTCCGCCCTTAGTGGGGGACGGACACGAGTGGGAAGCCTGTAACCAAGAGGAGGCGTGGGGGGTCGCGGGGCGGCCGGGGCTCCCTCACTGCAGAGGAAGGTTCTTAGGCCCCTGGGGCGCTCGGACTGCTCAGGCAGCAATCATTCCGGGTCGCAGAGCCCACTGTACTCCAGATTAAAGAGCTGGCAGCGTCTCTGGGCCCTTTGTGCAGCCTGCCGCCTGCAGGGCGGAACACGTAAGCACCCAGCGGGTCCGCGGGAGGTGGAGCGAGCCCCGCGTTTCCCTGGTGGTAGTCCTGATGCTGAGTCCTCCGCACCACCACCCCCCGACCCGCCCATCCAGGCCAGCAACTGCTCTCAAGCCTGTTCAGATGTGACCTGAGGAAAGGGCTTCATCGCATCTCAGCGGGCCCTCCCCGGCCAGCCAGAGCTCTCGGCAGCCTGTGTGGTGGAAGTGTTGAGAACTCTCAACCACTGTTTTCTAATCGTGGGGGCTTGGTGTGCAAAATATTGAAGGCACCAAAGAAAGCGATTTGGAAGCAGCCCCGGACTCGGGCCCACGAGCCAGCTCTCTGGGGCTGGTGGTCCTTAAAGGGCAGAGGTACCATGGGCCGCTCAGACAGAACAAGCTTGCCCCTGTGTCTTCCGGACCCATTATATTGATTTGTCCTTCCTGTCGGATCAGCTGTGTGCTTTGCTTTATTCGTCACTCAATTCGAGCACACAGTTCAGCTCAAGATTCAGCAGGACTGAGAATAGGCGCGTGGGCCTCGTGCTCCTGGGGCTCATCTCTCCTCCCCTCCCGCCCTCTCTTTTCAGACTGATGCTCCCCGAGGAGCCACCCAGCGCTCCCCCGAAAAACATAGTGGCCAGTGGGCGCACCAATCAGTCCATCATGGTCCAGTGGCAGCCGCCCCCAGAGACGGAGCACAACGGAGTGCTCCGTGGATACATCCTCAGGCAAGTAGCCCGTGCCCGGCCACGTTTAGGCCTCTGTGAACAGTCCAGTGTCTGTCTTACTGAGGTCGCAAGCTCAGATGTCTGTAGGAGCCCAGCAGTAATCCAGAGACCCAGGCCAGCAGTGGGACTCTCAGGGGTGGTGGATACTGCGGCCAGCAGCGAGAACGAGCGCCTGTGGACAGCCTCTCGGGGACAGGCTCTGCAGATCCAGCCGTGATGCATACATACCTTCACGGGGTGCAGTTTAGCAGAACAGTGGGGAGTGTTCCAGGCTGGAAGCAAGGCATGCTTATTCCTTGTAAATCCTTTCACTCTTAGGTTTTTACCAGAGGTATGCCTTCTAAAGTATAATGATTTTTAATTTAAAAGAATTACAATTGATTTCATTATAAGACAGTTTCTACCATGCTAGTACGTTGGGCTGCCAGGTTTTCCAGAATTACCAAAAAAAGGGAAAAGCCTGGCTTTTTTACGTGCATTCTCACAGTTTTCCAATGTTGGGAATGAAACCATTATGTTCTAAAACACAGGGCAGGCCACACCCTCCCAGCCGCAGACCAGACATGGCCCAGGAGTGGCCAGTTGGCTCTCTCTGCCCGTCTGGGAGGGGTTTGGCTTCTGAGCACCTCGCATGAACCACGCCAGCCCTGGCTAGGTTGGCAGAGGAACCAGCTTTGCCAAAAACTACTGCTAAGTTTAAAATGGCAGCGAAAGCAATCGGTTTAGTAGTTTGTCAACGCAAGTAAAAGGAGAAAAGTAAAACAGTATTGAAAAGGTCACTGTGAGCCCCCTCCTAATGGACTGTGCAGCCATGGACCCGCCTGTCACCAGCCTCGGGGGCAGGGCTGGCAGGTGTCCACCTCGCAGACGCCCAGCCCGCGCCCGTGCCAAGCCTGCGGTCAGGAGACGCCAGGGTAACAAAGGTCTCACGTGGAGCGATGTGACTCCGTAGCTAAACGTGAAACATCATGAGAGAGTCTCTTCTTTAACTCCATTGTCTGCGTACAGAAGTCAGCTCGTCCCCAGCATGTATTTCTGTGATAACCCGCTCATCGTTTAATACACGTTTATCCATATGCACGTGATGGGCGCCTATCACAACCAGTTAGCTGCTGCTCTCCCGTTGTCCTCAAGCGTGTGAACTATCCTCTGAGCACAAGCCAGGTCGTTATCTGCCCGAAGAGGTTCAAACGCGGCCGTCCCCCGGCTGCACCAGAGCCGCGGGGCTGAACCCGCACGCCGGACCCCCTCGGTCTCTGAGCCCCTGGCCTCCCTTCCCTGGTTCGCAGAGGAGACTGCCAATCGGCCACCTGCGGGCACGGGGTGCCTGTGGACCCGTGGGTGGACCTATGGGCCCGTGGGTGCTTCCAGAGCCTGGTCTCTCTCCCCTGGGAAAGCAGCCCAGCGCTTCCCGCTGCTCGAGCCCAGGTTTTCCTCGCTGCTCGCCCAGCTGTCCCCTGGTCCCCTGCTCATCAACTAATGAAGATAATTGGCCTCCCCTCTGGACCAGCCTCCCCCTCCCTTGCTTGTCATCCCATCTGCCTCTGTCTTTTTTTGACCACAGGGAGGAAAAGTTTCCTGGGGCTCCATCTGCCAAGTAAGGACTTTAAAAGTCAGGCCACAGAGCCAGGCTCGGGGCGTGGAGTTTCCTAACGCAAGCTCTCTGATGTCGCGAGGCCCCGTCGGGCACTGCACACTTCCCTGTTTTGTGGGATTACGACTCTTAAAAGGATTTTCCATGATGGTGTCAGTGGAGGCAAGTGCTGGAAAAGAGGGCATCATATTTGCAGGGGCTTCAATCCAGAGAGCCCTGAGACGCAGGTGTACCACACAGGCCGTGAATATCCCAAGTTTTCAAAAATTAAAGACCCATGCCAAAATGAATTTGCTGGGAAACATTTCCGAATAATCCTCCAGTCTGCAGATCAGCTCTGTTTCCAAGCATGTACCCTCCGGGGCACAGGACTCCATGTCAGACCAGCAGCACGGTCCACGGAAGAACAAAGTGGAAATAAATCACCGCCACAGCTCCGGCCGTAAGAAGTAGTTAGAGTGCGTGCACAGTAATAAAATATTCATAATAATGGGCAGGGTGTTTCTTTGAGAGGAACATAGGGGTTATGTCCTTTAAAAACATTCTCCTGTTTATTTCCATGTAAAGAATCTTCTTGTTCTCTCTGAGGCGGTCTCCTGGGCAACGTATCCAGCCCTTCAGCGGACGATGCCTTGCGCTTCTGTTATTAATTATGACCTTCCTAGACATTCTGTGACTATTACAAGAGTGCCCTGAGCCGCTGGTCAGAATGGACCACGCTGCCTGCCGGAAGGGAGCGGTGGATTCTCCCTGCCTCATACAGATAGGTCTGGGAGGACGGGTGGGCAGGCTCAGTTTCAGGGTTCAGAACTCAGGGTTCTCTGTCAGCGCACTTCCTACACAAGCAGTGTTCCCAGCAGAGAGATGTTTTTTGGGGGTGCTTTAATCCGTCATAGCTCCTTTGCACCCATTGTTTCATCCTGTTCTCGAACCGACCCCACGGAATCCATTATTACCACGTCACCTTGGGGAGGAGGAAGCCACGGCTCGGAGAGGTGAAGAGTTGGCTTCAGACCTGCCAGCTCGTGAGTCTTCTTCCCAGCTTGGTCTTCTGGGTGGCCGGCTCTGCTCTCCCTGGGATGCATACGAGACAGTGAAGCGGGATCTCCAGCAGCCACACCCGGCTGTACCCTGCTGGGTACCCGCGGTCCTGGGCCCAGTCACGTGCCAGGCTACTCTGGAGTCTGATGTGGGTGGGAGCCAATATTTGCCTTTTTTTCAAAATGCCTGTCTGATTGTCCCAAGGCCATTTATTCTCAAAGTCCCTGTAGATGGGGAGATAGCTGGTACTCAGATGATGCCACACCAAGCCTTCCTTGCCTAGAAGACAGGCCGTCCTGTGACAGACTCGGTTCAGCCCTCCGTGAGCGGTGCTCACCCCGGGCGGGGGAGTCCAGCAAGGTGCAGCAGGGTCGGAGGGGGTCGGAGAGAGGCACGGATGGGCATGAGGCCTCTGTCATGTTTGCCCATCGCGGACGCCGCGTGTGTGCCAGCGCCTCCCCCCAGGGCCGCTGCAGGCCCGTGTCCTGTGGCTCCTCTCAGGCGCAAGGCAGGAAGGCCTTGGGCCTTTGTGCTCTTCATGACCTGCCTGCTCTCGATTCTGTCTGCCTCCTCCCCAGCAGAACTCACCACGCACAAGTGGCCTGTAGCAGGAAGGGCTCCAAGACGAGTCTCAGAAAACCCTGATTTTCATGAAGAACCGTTTGTTACCATGTCCGTACATCCTGAGTGTGTTTTCATTCATCACGCTCCTTGGAGAGCTGTTTGCCACTCCAGGCTTGGATTTCGGATTTCCTTCTTTTTTCTGAGGGTGGTAGCCTTGCTGACATGCTGATTCGAGTGAGTCTGGCTCAGGCCCTTCCCTGCGTCCAGGCCCTGTGGCCCTGGGGACGGCATGGTGACTGACCGGGACTCTGCAGGGTCGCTCAGCATTCTGGAGGCGCCTGAAGACCCCAGCCTGGCGTGGGGAGTGGGTGCGTCTCCCGCCCCACTCCAGGTCTGTGTCCTCCTGCACCTCTGCCATCCCCACCGAGCATCGGAGACATGTCTTCTTGAGGAAGGAGCCAGCTCTCAGCTAGAAACTCCATGCTCTTGGAAGCTGTATGATGCCCGGGGAAGTTATTCCCACAGCTCTCACCCCTCAGCTTACCCAGAGGAACCATTCGCTTCTGCACACATGATCATGGAAGACATCTGTCACTCAAAATAATGTTACAACAGTCCTTTCACTGTGCAAATAGCAATTTCCCAGCTAATATGTTTTCTGTGTTCAGAGTCGTGTACATCATTGTTTTAAATAAATGCAACTTTAAATCTCTGCCTTTCTTGCACAAAAGAGCCTGCACGTTGCCCTCTCACAGGTCCCCTAAAAGCCCCTCTTAGCAGTGGGCCCATGTTTTAGGAGTGTGAGCACCTTTGAAAGCCAGTCATTCTGACTCTGGACTTCATGCACCACCCCAGCAGGGAGGTCAGCCCCCGGATACCGAGGGATCACACTGCCCGCTTCCTTTCCTCCGCCGTTTCAGAGTCACTGGAGGAAGGGGTCGCTTGGACTGATTTATAGCCGCAATCCACTAGAAATCTCGTCTGAAAGTTGGGGTCCTGAGTTAAAACGGATCATTTTTCCTGAACCCTGACATGGTTGAAGTGTGAGGCCTGTTAGCCCAGAGCTTCTAGTCACTGTGAGATTAGATCAGACCCGCTTAGCGATGGAGGTGGAAGTCGTGTCGTCTGGGGCGGACCTCTGGGCTTTATTCTTGTCTGTCTACCCCTGACCTCCTCTAACCGCGTGGAGGAGCCTCGGGCAGACCCAGCCTGTGGCTCAAGTCGTCTGTCTTGGCCTGCCGCAGGTACCGCCTGGCCGGCCTGCCCGGGGAGTACCAGCAGCGGAACATCAGCGGCCCCGAGCTCAGCTACTGCCTGGTGACCGAGCTCATCGTCTGGACCCAGTACGAGATACAGGTGGCTGCCTACAACGGAGCCGGCCTGGGCGTCTTCAGCAGGGCCGTGACTGAGTACACCCTGCAAGGAGGTGAGCCCCCGAGGTGGCCTGGGCTTCACTGGGGAGCAGGATACGCAAAGTTCTATTGGAGCAAGTGAGTTGAAATATTTTTAAATATTTCAGCTCACTCAATATTTGAAATATTTATTTCTGTTGAAATCAAAATAGAGTGTCCAGTCCCCTAGGGAGCAATCAGAAGGGGATGAATCACATATTTAATTTAATCTCTCCCTGTATTTGTAAACTATAGCAAAACCACAGAAAGGGATTGGATATATTATTCTGTCTGCTTCTTTCTGGTTCCTGAGGATGGAATGTGTCTCTACACATCCTTTGACTGGTCCACTTATTCTGAAAATTCCTGTGGAATTGACTTTTTCTAAAAGGAATAATGGTAGATTTTACAGTGAAGGTGGCTGTGGAGTCCTGTGTGAAGCTGTGAGCATTTTTCAAAGAGAATGATTATTTAGTGTTTTGTTTTCAGCGATGTAATATGATTATTAGCAGTGGGGCTTGCAGCTCAGTGCTCTCCAGCCCCGTTTTGGGTTTCCTTTTCCAGTCACACGAGCAAACAGTTCACTAGATCCATAAAAACTCCTCCCTACACCCACCCACCAAAACTGAGCAGGCAGAATGCCATAAAGCCAGCAGGTCTTACATTTATGTGCCAAGACCCGACCCCATCATTTCCAGTTAATTCCCCTGTTTTCTGGAGGGTCCGGGTCTCGGCCCCAGGAGGGGCTGGACCCTCAGAGACACTGTCCACGTCTGATTTCACTTTCAGCGCTCTCCGCAGTAACAAGTAGACCCTCTCTGGACACAGTGGTGCACCAAAGCAGCTCAGAGCCTGGCCCGGGGAAGCAATTTTCCCACCAAATCTAAAACCCTTTTTCGTTGAGTAGTTTTCCCCTTCCCTGACTCACAGGTGTGAGTTTATTTGCTTAGGCGTTTTTATTGTTACCAGGCCTTGACCTTTTTCAAATGATAAGGTTCCTAACTGCCCACGTCTCTCCCCAAATCATGCCTGAGACCTAATGTTCCTTGATATTACACGCTGTCATTATCATCCCATATTGATCGGCTGTCTGTTGTCATCCCTCAGCCCATAAATCCTCCTCACGAATTAAGTGCCGTCAGCCCTGCTCTCACAGTGACGAGCAGAGAGACTTAGCATGCAGGGCAGCAGGAAGGGCTTGTGTGTCTGCCTGCGCCTCTTGATCGCTCACTGGAAAATGAAAATAGCGGAAAACCTGCACTGTTAATGCTTGCTTTAATTAGTCCATTTAATAAAATAACAATAAATCCGGAAACACTTAAAATGACAAATGCTGCCGCTGACAGTCCCCCAGCACTGTTTACAGTGACGGTTTCCTCCAGTTGCCAGCGCACTCACGTTCTGTGCAGGGCACAGTGTCCCCCTGGCCCAGAAGGGCTGTGGGATGCTGTGTCCCACGTCTGTCCCGCCGTCCTGGGGGAAGCTTTAGGGCCGTGAGCGGCGTGATCCAAGCGCCGTGTGAGGAAGGGTGTCGGCACCTGTCGGCAGGTGTGCGGGGGAGACCGGAGGGGCCCGAGGGTGGGGCAGCCGCTGCAGACGGCAGGGCGTCAGCCCGGCTGTGAGCTGATGAGCTCCCCCGATCGCCGACATGGAGAGGAGCCACGGATGTGTGCAGTGCAGCTTCACACGTGTCCCTTCCGGGCTGCCCGCCCGCCCCGTCCAGCCTGCCACGCGAGCTCTCGCTGGGGCGTCCTGTCCCATGGGACCAGCCCAGCCTCCTCCTCAGCTCACTGGCAGTTTCTGCGATCAAACGGCACGTTTGGCTCACGTTGGGCGGGTCTGAGGTCGCTGGGCTAATGCAGGCGGAGCAGCCCTAACGCCGGGTCCTCTGAGTCAGCCGTGCTGTTTTCTGGGTGCCCTTGGCCCATCTGAGGTCAGTGGGGCCCCACAGGGGATTCATCTGGCCTGACTGCTGGCGGCGTGGCTGCCCCTCCAGCATGAGGGGCTCGTGGATCTGATTGTGGTTTTCCCATCTGCATGTCGGCCGGCGTCGCTGAGTCACCGTTCCTTTGCCTGGGTACTGGGTGGCCGGCAGGGATCCTGTAGCTAAGAACCCCGGCAGGTCTCAGGGCCCCCAGGGTGATCATAACCCACGTGTTTGCTCACTGGAGGGCGCTTCTGACTTTCTGTGTGTCCTCGATGCAGGCCGTGATCCCGCCAGCCTCGGTGTGGACTCAGAAATCACAGCAGCAGGCGTCTTTCCTGGCATCTTTCGCACCCCTGACCCGTGTGCTCTGTGCTGTAGTAGTGCCTGGGCGGCTGACCCAAGCACTGGACTCAGTCAGGTCCATGCTCTGCTCCAGGCCCTGCCCTGCCTGGACCCTTGGGCACCAGCAGAGCTTCTCAGGCCGCGTCAGCCTCTGACGCTTCCGCTTTTGTCTGAGGGTCGTGCCTGAGCCCCAGGACTGGTCCCTTGGGCTCCACACCTGGCAGATCAGGATGGACACATGGCCAGGGGACAGAGCTGGTCCCTGAGCACGGGGCTCGCTCACATGGGGTTCATGTGGGGCTCACTTACACGGGGAACACTCACCATGGGTGCAGACACACACACCTTTCTGCCTACACAGCCCCAGAACCAGCCCTGGTCCAGAATCCATAAAGCCTGACTCTTATTACTTATCAATACTACTTATGTGCCTTCAAGAAACATCTTAGCTCTTCTCTGCCTCTGGTTTTGCTTTTTTTTTTTGCATTCGTAAAGTTCTGACATCTCCACCTGCCCTGACTACTTTAAGGGCAGCTGTGAAGAGAAAAGGAAGCAGTGTGGGTGAAAAGGCTGCTAGCTGCTGGGCTGTGACACACACACCCGTGTTGCTGTCGTATTCCTCCGTCCACCCTGACAATGATCAGTATGTACTATGGTATCTGATTGTCTCCATCTTGGTAGTTGTACAAAAAGAAATTTTGGGGTCAATTTCTTTGCTATTTAGTAAAATCAAGGACACGTGTTGAGAAATTGATGTGAGTGCCTACTATGTGCCTGGGGTCATGCAACAGGCCAAGTCACTGAGAGAGGAGGGGACTCCTGTCTCGTGGTCAAGCCTGGGGGCCTCAGCCTCGGCCACAAGTGAAGACTCGCATGTGTTAAACAAGACCGAGAAGAACAGAATCCCGCCTTGTTCTCAGGAAGGCAGTCCCGTTCCCACACGCTCGGCGTCACTAACGTGATCTGGAGCATTCGCAGCCAGGGCGCTCCCAGGAACGTGCCGTCCCTGGGAAGGCACCCCTGCAGAGGGGCTTTCCTGGGACAGCAGCCCCAGGCAAGTAAGTGTAGCTGCTGAGCTGGTTCAGAGTGGAGTCCGGCTGCCAGAAACAGACCCAAAGGAGCAGTAACATAAATGAAGTGGGGATGTGTTTTCATTTCTGACACCAAAAGAGCGGGCAGTGGTTCTGTGGAGTCAGAGTGGCAGCTTTATGGTCACCAGAAAACCAGGTCCTTTTTTGCTTTGCCGTCTGCAGCACTTGCCTCGTGGTTGCAAACTGACTACTGTGATGCCGGCTATCACATCCACATTCTAGGAGGAAGGCACAGGGTCTGCCTTGTGGCCAAATAATTGAGTATGCCCACTTTTCAGAAACTTTCTTAGAAGTCTCATCTGCCACAGACTGGTGCTTACGATTCATGGACTGTCTATGTGCCAGAGAGCCTGGAAAGGGTCCCTCAGCTGGGCACATTTCTGTCTATTATTAAGGAAGGAAGAGGGGAGGGCAAGCAGAGGGCAACTGGCAGTGTCTGCCCGACTTTGTCCGGCGACTCCTGCCGAGGAGTCGCCCAAAGGATGTACAGTTTCTAGGTATAAAGTGGTGAGACTGCAGGCACAGCTGCTGTGGGCAGAGCGCCTGCTGGTCCTTCAGAACCACCCAGAGTGGTTCTGAAGTCACCAGACACCGCAGGCCCACAGCTCCCCGGACCCCTCCCGGGGCTGGGCGGCTCTTCTCCGGCAACCTGCTGTGTGTCCCAGGGCTGTTCGCAGACGTCGCTGAGAAAGCCTGGGGGGCTGAACTGGTCCCTGAAGCTGAAAAGGGAATAGTTAAAGTGCTGGTGTATTACAGGGATAGGGAGGGGTGACTTACGCATAAGATTAATTATTCGTCAGCCTAATTTGGGAAATTAATTCCGGAGCCCGTCAGGAGACCGTGGAGGAGCAGGAGCAAAGGGGAGAGCCGAGCTGCCGTCCAGCCGGCCTCCTTTTCCTTCTGGAGCCATCGGGACACGAGGTGTCGTTTATCTTGACTTCAGTAAGGCTCCTCTTGAAATGGTGTCGGAATGCCGGGAGAGCTCGAGGGGCTCCCACGGCCGTTGGGGGGGGCGTGTGCATGTCAGACGGCCACCCGCAAAGAGGACGTGTGAACAGCGAGGTGCCGGCCGGCGAGGGCACACGCGGGCAGGAGCGCGGGAGGGAGGGCTGCTGCCCGGCCCCCAGGGCACGCGGCCTGGGCTCAGAGGGGCCTTCCTCAAGGGGGCTTCTGAAGGACGGTGAGGGGGTCATACCTCTGAGCCCGGTGAACTGTCCCCGGAAGTGCTGAGAACCTCCGTCCACCTGCCACCCGCCAGGTTTCTCCTCAGCCCCGTTTCTTGTTGAGATGCAATTAAAGCATCTGTTACGGTCCACATCCCGACACTGTGTGCGACCCCAGCCACTCCGAGGCTCCCCTGAGAACTGTGCGGTCACGTGACTGCTTCACCTGTCTCTCACCATTAGCAGAACAATTTTTAACAGAAACTGTGGAGCCAAACACCGCGTCAGCATCGACTTCGAACCACTGATTGCCTCAGATGACTACAGTGCTTTTCTCCGTTACTGGATGATTAGAAAGTTGCTGAAGTAGACATTGGCAGTAGGAAAAATGCTCATAATTATGCTGGGTGTTGAGTTATGCGGAACTTAGACACTCTGGCTTTCTCCTCTTGAAACCAAAAGCATACTGATTTCTGGAAGGGTTCGGCAGGAACTTCTGGAGTGAACTTAAG